ATTGTATCTATCCACTTTTTATTATCGGTACCTAACCTAGGTAAGGACCTTAAAGTTTTTATTCATGTACTTTTTATTGCCGTAGCAAGTAAACTAGACTAATCTAATAACCATCACAATATTCATCAAGAATATTAATAATACAACTTATTGGGTCAAAATGCCACACAAGCACGCGAATAACCTGGTCTCAAACTAGACAATGCCGTGTACCTACTATGACTACTAGAGTAAATAATTTTACTTGGGTGACAAACCAAAACACCCGGACCAGAGCAAATTTAGTAAAGTTCATTTCCAACCGGGAATCGAAGCGACGACCTTCGATTGAGAGGCCACCGTTCTTTCATCGCTTTACCTACTAAATAAATAATTATAATTTCAAAGTCTCAGACAAGTTTTTCATATACATTTTTTTTTAAATAATAATAATAATAACGCACACACTCGATATAGCCCCGCACTAGGGAAACCCTGTGTCGCGGGTGCCATGGACACACAAATAGACAATTACAAATTACACCCAATGTCACGAGACAAATAAATGAAGGCCATACAAATATTTCTCCCGGCCCGGGAATCGAACCTGGGACCTCTGCATGGCAGTCCGGCATGGTAACCGTTCGGCCACGGAGGCAGTTAAATCATTACAATCGTTGTACAACCCTTGAGCATTCGTTTTCGCACGACTCCACACGGCGAGCTACCTTATTTTCACCTTTATGAGCGAGTGCTTAGGTTCCTTTTTCCTCGTAGGGAGCGCATGGTTTCATTAGTGAAATTTGTCTGTTGTATCTGTTGCGTAGTAACTATTAAGTAATCTGTGCTTTGGTTAACCAAAGGTACATCTACATACTTTTGCCAAAAGTAGCTAGTTCCAACAATTCAAAGTTTCGTAATAAAAGCTTTAAAATAAGCTTATACAAGTATATTTTTGATTCGGGTATCGGGGTGTTTTGTTATGAAAACTGTAAAATTATATCGCCCGCTAATAAATAAAAAGAAAAATCCTTTTCGGTAAGTTAACTACCCACCGTATTGTCTATTTCTTGTCATGCCAACTCTGGAACACATCGAGTGATGGACGAAATGTTGGCTTAATAGCGAATTAATGGATCTTTTGCGTAAATTCGAGATAATACACTTTTGTAAAGTATTCATGAGCGATTTTACGAAGGAAAAGTGGAAATGTCTTTCTGAGTTTATACACTTTCCGTTATTTACAGCGATTTTTCGACGTAACTGTACCTATCAATGAAATAAGTTGGAGTAAAAGATGTTTTGATCAAAGAGTGGCGAATGTTTGCGCCTAGATCTGACAAAATCAGGACTTTTCGGAGTGCAATCAGATGTGAATCAAAATGATGTGGTTCCCGAGATTGAAAATTGGTGTCGGCGTAATAACCCTATCTCGAGGTGAACAATAAAACTAGTGTTTCCAAAACCGGCGTTGGTTTTGTTTTTGCATATTTGCAAGACCAAGACCTACCTGCAAGATTAGAGCAAGAAAAAACTGAGTCTTGCAGTTACGTCTATTTCATACATGGGCTTTAGGTATTGATGTCTTTAATTTCAATCGATATCGATATTGATAGACGTTTCCTAATATTGGTATCAAAACCACGGTTTCTTCTAACAACGAAGTTGGATTGGTTGTTATACCACGACAAGCAATTGTGTCGAATGATTATAATTTTGAAATAAGTAGCTTTTTGATCGCATAAAATAATGTGTAAAAAACCTACCTACCTGTGACAAAAGAACAGCAAAAATCAAGAGAAGTTAGCAAATTGTCACTGAAATATGAAAAACTAACGAGCTGGCACAGGCGTTGCGGCTCCTCCGCTTTTTTGTAGGTACCCATTGACTAACCAACTTATAATCAACGAAAATGTCAAAATTTAAATCAATAAACATTGACTTATTTGTAAGTTTTTGTTTTGTTAATTTGATTGGGTATGTAAGTGCACTGCTTGGTAGTGGTGAAAATAAATATAATAATAAGTATTGTTTATTAAAAAATTTAGATGCTCTTTATTATTATATGATTAGTCTTAGTCTATTAGTATAATAGTTGAAATTATCACTGACGATTAAGTCAATAACATCTTGAGATCAATCTCAGTTCTTGTGTAAGAACTATTATTATTACCACTCAGGTGCCTTGATTTGACCTAAACTAACCAACTACCCCTATTCCTCCGTTCCGGAAATATTATAGCTCCTGCGCAAACTTACCCACTGCGCTCAGTTACCCCGAATGTATCTAGACTTATAACATAAGAATCATATTATTAGCGACTTTGAGGAGTAGTTCAAATAATACAAATTTTCCACATATAAGAAAAATTTATTAATATAAAATGCAATATGCTATGTAGTTATGTAACTCGCGGCCCTGCGCGGGCGCACACAATCACATCGGAGAAACGTACATCTATTCGTCGGATGACACTCTCAGTACCTCATTGACATGTGTCAATCTTTTTTTGACACCGCAAACTATTATAGTAATTACTGACTCGAAAGAACCACTGACCACATTTTTTTCAACTTTTTCAAGTATTCTGCGTAACTGTATGATCTCCTTCCCCCGTTCATCCCTATACTCACAAATTTGAAATCAGCTTTGAAGCATGTTAATTCTCCCTTTTTTATCATTGACCTTTGTGATTATACATGTAATGTTTTCATTTTAAAAGTAAATTTTAGAATAAACTATTAAAAACATCGTTAACGTCTTTAGGTGCCGTTTACGCAAAACTTTGATCATTTTGGTTGGTAAGTTAAATCTCTTTAATAAAGTACCCCCCACAAAACTTGTTGAATATCAGAACTTACTGCAACCCATAAAATTACTTAGCGAGATGCTTGATACTGGCGAAATCCTCAAAACGCACCGCCAATTAGTAAAAAGAGGAAATTACTGATGGTTTCCTATCTAACAATATCCTGAAAAAAATATTGACAATTATAGTTTTTATTTCTTTTCATTTCTTTTTTATTTTCAACAATGGAATGGGGTACACGTGACGAAAGATAAACTAGCTTCATTACCGCTTAATGTTCCCAAATTTATCTTAAGTATTTTCTACCCGATGTGTCCACGCCAGACTCGGTAGAAGACCGTTACCTTTTTGGTTTATAATGCTAAGTGACTGGATGAGTAACTCGTGCGCCTGGTGGTCAGAGAGACACGACTGTCCGTACCAGTTGCATTGACATTTAAAGCTTTAAATCGCAAAGATCTGAGGGGCACGGCCACTGCAATATCTTGTCATAGGCAATTGCGGTTGGTGACATATATGCCGTAGGAATACAGCGACGACGTCAGAGATATCGTTAATTAAAAACTTTACGATCAAAATATAAGCTAGTATGATATGTTTTATAATTTTTGACTTTAACCTGGCCGGTTTGTGAATTTAACACCCGAAACAATCAACTTACATTTATTTGGCGTTTATAAGGAATAATGCTACAATGGTATACGCTTGATAACATTTGCAATGGTCAACGATTACAGTGTGGTGACGATAGAGTCACAAAACCAATAATTGGTTGATCTGTACTTTAATGTATGATGTCAGATTTGAAGGTTTGACTGAGCGTGAATAGTAGACTTCATTCCTTTCAGATGTTTTACTTCATCATGTCAAGTACGGTAGCTAAGAGTGCCAATTAACCACTATACATCCTGTAAAATACGCGATTAGTACATTATAAATACAGTAGCACGGCTCGTGGAAGAATGGAAGCCGTTGCTCCTATATATCATTTACACATCTTTACACTACGAGACATAAATCAGCTATAAGGTCGAGATCAACTTGTATATGGCGTAAAGGACGTAGAAAATATCAACTGAATCAAAATAAAAATTAAACAACTTGACATTTGACTAGTACCATCTCAATTTTTAGGTGTGTTTTCTGATTTGGCATTGCCATACACAATTTGAACTGTTCACTTAAGTTAACGGTTAAGTATAGGCAACACTTATCCCTTAACTTTGAAAGAACTCGCTTGCAGAATCGCACACAATCAATGAAATAACAAATTACAATAAAAATATGAATCGTTCTATAAAATACATTGCACAAAATGATAACAAATTCGAAACAGGATTTGTTCGAGATTTCTAATGATTGTGTCTGATTGCACTAGTGACGACCATTTACTAATATGGTTTCAAGTATAAGCCAACCGAATTGAGACGCACACTGGAATGTACGAAAACTAACACGAGTCGAATTCCTAAAGCTAAATAATACTTGTGTTAAAAATATAAACTATATTTATAAAAAAAAATGGAAGTAAAATTAACTCCTTGGTCATTTAAAAGCGTAACTCTCCGGTAGATTTTGCGTTACCACTTTTTGTAACAGTCGATTCGCATAAGGTATTCCTTTATTAAAAGTATTGAGAGGATGGTACTCGAAAAATCTATGAATGTTTAATGCTGAAACAATTGACTGTTGTTTAAACCAAAACCCAAAACGTGTGGGTTTGTTTCGTAATTAAAGCTGTGTTACTTACACAATTACTTCACAAACACAATATTAAAATAATGCACCTCAATTCTTTAAACGGGCATGAGTCGTCGACTTGTTTCAGGAGGCTTATACGCTTCAAAACCTATATACAGGTTGATTCTTTTACACACAGCCGCGGCGTTTAATCCATAAATTTAACTATTATTAAGTATATAAGTTGTTTATTTAATCATAGGTACCTAGGCATTTGTTACGTTTATAATTCCACATAAAATTATTATATCTATTTGACTACCTAGTATAATATGCATTTACCAGCCATCGTGCATAATAATTAAAATACAAATAATAATCAATAGTACATAACTAGTCACACTAACACTCGCCTTGAGAAGCACGTCATCTTGTATGATTATAATAGAAATACATTTTTCTATGAAATATGTATATTATAATAAATTTTAATATCTATTTCATGAATGTCGCTAACTTGAATAAACTTACTGAATCACATTTATTTTTTATATATTCCTTAAGATAATGATTTTTGACAACATATTCGCTCTATCAACTAGAACATTTAATATTTTACTAGAAAATGGAAATAAAAAGACCAATAATATTTGTATCTACAAATAATGTATATCCATATAACGGGTATTTCAATAGTGACACTCCATTTAACAATCATATTTGATAATATTTAATAGATATATTTGTCACATTACTTTTTATTCTATATTAGGTTACACAAAGTTAACCATGGGAAAAATATACTATTCAACAATGGGTGGAAATTTTAAAATTTACCGTTAAAAATATTTTTTAGTTAATTGAAATTGGATGCGGAGTTCGAAGGTCCAATTACGCTGACGTAATTGGGCCCTCGCTACTGATAGCGACGTATACTAACCATTGAGATCGTGCGCTCCAGCCCTCTTAGGCTGGTTACACACGGGACTGTAGTCCGTAGTTGACCTTGGGTTTATGTACAGAAATTCATACACGCTTCGCGGCGGCGAGCAATTTTTTTTTAAAATATCAAGTGACGGGACGCACAAGTAGTGCTCCTGATGATAAGGTACACGCCTATCCACAACATTCGCAGTGCCACTCAGAGCTCTAAATCGCAAAGATCTGAGCGGCACTGCCACTGCACCCGTCGCCTTGAGTCATAAGTTGACAAGTCCCATGTGCCTGTAATTTGCCGCACTACCGTAATTCTCTACAATTAACGTACTATTTTAATTGGTTACGCCGCATGGGCTGCAGTTCGTGTGCGCAACAGTATCGCGGTATGACTCCTGGGGCAAAAATCGTCGCCGCCGCGGCGCCATGTGTCATGAGTCTGAGATTACGTTAAATCCGCGGTGTATGCAAATCAACCGCGAACGTAAGGATAGTCTCCGCGATCACTGAAATCGAACCCAATACGCACGGCGAGGTCATCGAGAGTAGACCGTGTAGATAGCCCTACATAACCCAAATCACGGCGCCCATTTAACCGGCAGTGTCTATTGAAATACCTTATTCTATTTAGTCTAGCTAAGACTCATAGTAAAAAGCAGTCAGATTATTAAAACAGCCCAAAAAATTTGAGAAGAAAAACGGTCGTCATTTTTAAACTAATTTATTAAGACGAATATAAATGCCTAAATAATGTATGTATATGAGTTTGTGCTAATTATTTTATACATTCAAAAGCTAAATACAATTACGGCGACTTTCCAGTCGCAAAAGGTACTTTTGTTTAAAAGTATACACTAAAAACAATCTTGTATATTTTTGTAGTAACAATAAAAAGTACTGACCAATTTGAATGAAACTAAAATAACACGAAAACACGATGAAACCTCTCACCTTTTGCGAAGCTTATTACACAAGAACCATCTTATGTACTCAATGTAAACTACAGGAAATACATATGTAACTGATAGTAACAGTTGCGTAGTAATGTAAGATAATCTTCTGTGTTAAATTATTGAGTAATTAACAGGAAGATCCAAAGGCTTTTCGGTATTTATGATACTAATACGATAATAAAGAAGAAATATATAAACAACTCCCAATTTTTTGTACTAAAATTTGCTAAGTCGATAAAAAAATAACCGAACGCAATATACTCATAACTCATAGTTCCATTTATGGAGAAGATAGGTTGGGATCGATAATAATATGCCCATGATATAATAGCGTGGATTGAAAAAAGAGAAACTTATTTAAAAAAATAATTTACAGCTAAAATTTACGTCGTTATCTCTGACTTGCAAATGTGATGGTAAAAGTGTTAATATATGAAGATATACGATACAATACACATATATTCAATAGGTAATTGTGATTATGGCAGTGCATTGTATGCAATATGAATTCACTTTTCAACTATTCCTTAAGTATGTAGTAAAAAATTCTTTCAAAATTAATAATAAGTTTACTTTTGAATTTTAGCACATTACAGACAGTGAACTGTCATAAAATGTATTCAATGTGCACGAGATCACAGGATTTTTAGGTTGCGCTGAAAATCATAAGAAACTATAAAATTTTGGAGAGACTAACGTATATTGGCCCCAGAGAGGTATTTTCGAACATTCAGGAACAGTCAAACTGTTGTTCAATCGTATTATTGCCCGTGATTGATCCGACGTAGCGTAAATGTGCACTTTATCCTGAACCAGCATTTCAAGCATTGAAGTCACGTTGGCACGATTGACGACAACCAAACATCCAGAGCCTTAATTTTGCACTAATTTCAGTTGAAAATTGTATAATACGCAGTCCCCACGGTCTATCTACGGCAGTATTTTAGCAATTTGCAGTCGTTGTACTCGTGTGTACTAAAAATTTATCAAAAAGAACGAAACATCAATTTCATATAAGATGTTTATAACATTTTTTGCTACATGCTACGGTCTATTTGAGCGCTACCAAAAAGATCTAACTTACGCATCACCCTGTTGTTTATACGTAGGTATCTGCCACTTGATGGAAAATTTACTAAGTATGTAAACAGCAGCATTTGGTTTGCCACTGCAACGCTTCGTCGTCAACGTCGCCGCAGCCCTGCGAACTCAGACGCAGTCCTTGACCAACTTCTTCTACTAGCGACTGTGCTTCAGAATCAACATGCTGTAACGCCTTTGCACGCTTAGCGGACATACAAAACAACATTATGTACCTACTAATAAAACCCTCCCTGTAGGCTTACAATTTGGAAAATACACAAAACGCTATGTGTGCAAAGGAGTACGATTAATCCTAGAAATAAATCTCAAATCTGTGCAGAGCAAGCGGTACATTAGGTTCCGCAGAACCGATAACGTCTGCACAGTAGAGCGAAAACATCGGAATGAAAGAGTCAAGATACAGCTTAACGTAAATATAAGTAGTACAAAATTAACATACTTTGTGTCGATGTACCGTCGCGGACAGCCTTATATAACATTTTAAACGATTTACATCAAGTAGAATAATGAGTTCAATATCAACCATGTTTGTAAATGAGGTAACACAACATTCGATTTAATCAAATATCTGAATAAATTTGTTCGCAACTACCGCCAGCCATAGATTAACAAATAACCAACGTAATTTTAAAAGTTATTAACAATGCGTAAAGCGAGGCTGGCCGGGCGGTCATCGATTATTAATTATCACCAGTAATAAGACCTTTTTTTCAAAAATCTATATGATGTATGGATTTAATGCTGCATTTTTAAACGTTCAAAGTTACATTATTGCGCCATTGATATAAGAATATAAGATAAAATAAAAATAAAATAATATAAACAACATGTGTTTGCAATTCCAAATTTTCTGAATCAGCTTCCTTGCAATAATAAAATAATGTTACTATAAAATAGAAAAAATAATAATTTCATAGTACTACCTTATTAAAAAAGTGGACTATAAAATTAATTGAATTATGTGCAATTCAGTAATGTCGATAATTGAACGTGACCAAAATACAACATTCCATGTCTAGGTTTTTGAAGTTTTTGTCACGTGTAGTCCTATTATTGGTTACCAGGTAACGTGACGCACATCCTACTAAGCCTAAATATAAGATTGTGCTCGGCATCGGTGGGATTATCAGCCGAACATCAGCCAATAAATAATATGTCACGTGATCGTAAATGCGGGCCGGGGGGACGGCGGGGTGCAGGAGACGTCTTTTAAAGAGATACAGATGAAAGGGTGTTTTACGTGTTGTACACGCACGACATTTGGATCCAGGGGACCGTTTCCGAAGTGGACAACTATACGCCGGGCATATTCCAACACCTGCGTACCCGCAACGCGTTTAGTCCGCTATGTTCCTTTCATGTGTAGCGCATTAGAAAAGCGCGTGCTACTGCCGCCCCCCGCCGATGGCACACAACGGATCCACGTGGCCGCTTAGCGACCTCGCGTCCTCTAAACAAACATCTCTGTACACACGAAGCTCACAAAACATTAATAATAAACAACGGCAAATATAAATCCTCTATTGCAACAAAGAACCGTAACGACAAAGGAGGCCGGTGCCGAAACAGAAAAGAGATTTTAAACTTTCCATTCTCAAAAATTATACAAAAAAATAAAAAAATTTAAAGCATTAGGTGCGATGAGTTTTGACTCTACTACTGTACGTAGCATTTCTTTGGCTTGTACCGCCTAACACCGCCCGCTGAAACGCGCGCCCAAACAATTTGCACAAAGCGAACCGAACATGATCATTTTAACGTTCAATTCCATAGGATCACAAAATTACAACTCACAACAACTTATACGTAAACAGAATCACACATAGAATGGCGCGCGTTCGCATCACTATTTAGCGCTTCGGTTTCCTGTTCCGATTGCGTTTGGTGGCAGCGGGCGGCATTGGGGCGGGCTACGCGTGGCGCTTGGCATGGAGCGCCAAGTGGTCGGAGCGAGAGAAGCAGCGATCGCAGTGGCGGCAGCGGAACGGCTTGGCGCCGGTGTGCTTACGGTAGTGCCGCGTCAGTTCGTCGGAGCGTGCGAATCGCCATTCACAGCCCTCCCATGAACACTTATACGGCTTTTCGCCTGAAATACATGTAAGATACAGTCAGTCAATACGAACCATATCTTATATACAGAAGGAAATCAATAATCAAGAGAAGAATACACACCTGTGTGGGTCCTCTTATGGGCCTTAAGATGCGAGCTCTTGGTGTAGACCTTGTCGCAAGCGGGAAATTCACAGCGGTGCACTCGGCGGCGCGGATCGGGATGGGTGTGCGCGTGGTGTCGGACTGCGTGACGCCGCGCTGGAGCCGGACTTGCAGGCTCATCTGGAAGCAGAATAAACTAACGGTCACTACACAATCCCCCACTCCTCCATAAAAATACGCAAGAGAACAAGGAGACAAAAATGAGCTGTAGTACCAAATGTATCATTAAAGAAAAAAAAAATTGTGAGAGATATTATTATAGTGTTTTTGTTAAATGGGACAGTGTGGGGAAATCCGAAACCATAAAAGATACAAGGGAGCTGTCTTAGGAACCATTCACTCTTTTTTGTGAATACAATTTCGGCATAATCATTTTTTAGTCAAGCGTGAGTTGTCCATAAAAATAAACAAAGTTGATCGACTCAATTTCACAGCAGAAATTGGTAAAATTTCATAAAATAATTTTTCATACAAAATGAAAAATATTTACTAATTTTTTTTAAGACTGATAGACTCACTTTCTTATAAGAATGATATTGACAGACAAACTTGCCAAATTCAAGAAATCAATTTTATTAATTTGTATGGACAATTCACGCTTGACCAATAAAATTATTACGCTTAAATTGTTTAAAAAAGAGATATAATGGTTTCAAATTTCCCCATTCTGTGCCATTTAAAAAAAACTCTACCTATATGTATCGCTGTTATAACATCAGTAAGTTACTAGATCAGTACCGATTCAGAGGTACAACTGCTGATCAAAACAATGTTTTGTAGGCGATGAAAATTAATTTATTTACTTTTCCGTTAAAGAACGACTGCCGCACACGCATGCGTCGTTCCATCACAAACAGAGCGAACAAGCTGTACTTCTAATTTTATTATAAGTTCATTAATTCTTTTTAGACCAGTGGAGGATGTTTGCAACGATCGCCTCATCTCTTTTTTTCTTGCGTCAAAATACATGCACATCTCTATCCTATTTTGAGCCTCGGCAGTCGTACTAACACCAATTTCATCCTCATGACTCTATATACTTGTAGAGGTAAACTGAAATCAAGGGAGCTAAAGTTACACTCTTTTGTATTGTTTATTTTGTTTGTTTTTTGTTGTTTGTTGTTTAGTTTAATTTTTTTAAAGTTAATTGTTTAGTGATCTATGCAAGCTATTCAAGTTTTGAGTGACACTTGGTTCTCATACACCACCGGTAATTTCTAGGCTCTTCATAAGTGGTGTACTTGAAATTAATTAGTTGCTACAGCCGTATGGCATAGGGAACTGTTTAAACATCCGCAGTGCTAATATCATGTAAACAGGGCTTATAGGTTCGCTGCTTCCGTATTCGCTGCAAACAACTGACCACAGAACACAGCGAACGAGAAAAGCTGTATTGCGGCTGACAATCACACTTGAAAATGTGTGCATTAAATTCACCAGAGTCTAGTATATCCTCAGACATCAAACGTTTTGCTACATATTTATGTCCCAGTATTGATCATTAAATGAAGTGATATTCTTATAGGTAAGTCCAAATGTATTCCAGAAAATTATTTTGAAGAAATGGAAAAAACAGGTATATATTTTCAAAAATAACAAAAAACGCAATTCATCTATTTGACAGTGTTCTATGGAAACCTCCATGGAACACTGTTGTAAGAAATTCATAACAAGAATTGTCAATTAATCCTATTATAAATCTGCCAATACGGCCTTTTTATCCCTGCTGTTTTATTAAAAGTATCCATGGTCACCCTACATTGTAATCTATTTACAATCTGACCGCCGTTTCATTGAACGTAGCGTGACAACATTCCGGCTGAAAGGCAATTAGCCTCTTTACAAAGCAGCGGTTTTGTTTTGCAGCGCATTGTAACCATTCGGCGGCGGCGTAAATACATGTGTTACAAAAGGGTCAAAAAATGCTCTTGGCCATCTTTTGACACTCGAAAATACCAAATCCATCCTTGACACAACTATTTTGGCAAAAAATGAAACTAACTTAAAAATATCCTTTTTCGCACAAGTCTGTTATTACTGAAACTCGTTTGAAAAAAATTTTAGCTATGCTTCCGAATAACACTTTTAAGTGTGACTAAAAATATGAAAAAAGTTTACAAGGAGGAAAACGTTTTTGGTATATCTTCTTGTCAACAACAAAACAATACAACCCATTGTACACTTTCCACTGCTGAGAGAATTAAGTCCATAATCTACCACATCGGGTTAATGCGGGTCGGGGACACCACACGTTTTTTTACGATGGTAAACACTCTCTGACATGCAGGTTTCATCAGGACGTTTTCCTTCACTGTTAGCGAAACGTATTGCTACTCAACTTTCACAATTGTACGTAAATTAGGTGATTGAAACTATAGAAGTAACCACCGCTGTAGTTTTGTGAGTGAGGTGAAAACCGACCGGAATGTGAACATATCCACTAACACTCACCTCTGGGCTCATCCGAGTCGCTTGGCGGTTCACTCTTGACCATAGTGGTTATGAATGGTAGCGGAGAAGGTGGGGAGACAGGCGATGGAGGTGATGGTGGCGTCAGAGGAGCAGTCATCGATCTCGCCCAGTCTTCCTCGGCGGGAGGAGCCCGCTTCATCCGCGGTGGTTCCTCCCGGAGGTACAACTCCATCTCGTAACATGTCTGGAAACAGCATAAGAACGATCGTCAGATCAGTTCATTATGAAGCAAACATGTCTGACGACAAACTATGTCACAAAGAAAAATAACGCTCCAGATTAAACGATTATTTATAATTAAAATTGAAGATGGTACCGTGGGGGAAATTCTAAATTTACCTGTTTCAGAATCCCGGAAACAACTAAAACGGACACCACAATACGTTACCGGTTCTTCACCAATTTAGGTGACTCAAGGGCAAACAAGAGTATGTATCAATTACATTACATTACTTTTGTAATACGTACACGAATCAATATGATTTCGAACATATGGCTAAAGCGATCTTAAAAAATTTATAGGCCAATTCTTTTCAATGGCATCCATTGCGTCTGAGTCGATTGTATTTTTAGCAATGGCTCGTTGGCGGAAAAGCTGACCGCGTTAGACGATATACATATGTTATTTTTCGGATATAGCCTTGCATAACCACCACAAGGAGTACCTTATTCAAACAACACAAATTTAGTTACATTATTGATTATGTTATATGAGACTTACATTATATGAGAATGTGATTCCCGGTAAAATCAGTTTGGAAACGCGTTTCTGAGTGTAAATATTAATAATACGGTCAGAATTAATCGTAATACAGTATAATAAACTATCTAAGTCAAGACCCGGTTGCTAGTGCGATTGCCTGATGTGTATTTAGATATTTAGTACATTGCAATGTGCAAACTGGGCAGAAATAATCACTAAAGTTTATTTCAGGCTTTGTAAATATAATTTCGAATCACCAAGTAGATATATTATAACGATAAGTGTTATTACACCCGAAATAGACCACGATTGAAAGGAGTTATGACTAATGGAGGAAGAGTAGTATAACTGGATCATTGCAAGTGGTGATTCAATCTATGTCTACTCGATTGGAAGATGTGCCATAAGTAGACGAATTGTATGTTTAGATAGGTATCTTAACAAACTGCGGTCAGGAATTTACACGTGACAACTGTTGATCTTCACACAGGTACCTACATGAGAATTACAAACAAGTTTAAAGTCGTTTGGACATTGTCAATTTTAATCTTAAATTTTTAGAATTAATTTTAAAATTTTAATTTATAAATTTTAACCCTTAGAGGATGGAAGAAAATAAAGGAAAGGAGCTGCTTTATCTACGGAATAAACGTCCCTACCTACCAAACCAAACCAAAAATGTCCACCACAAATGGCGGATTTAGTGTCGTACATACGATCTGTTATTACTGTCTTTTATGTTTGCAAATTTGTGTAGTTTACTGTAATCAAAGTATGATTAATACTAGGCTAATATTACTAGGCAAGTAATGACTCATTTTAATCAAAATTAAATATAAAGTTATTTGCCAATAAATGTAACGATGAAATTGCATTATCATGTAATCTTGTTACATTCAAAGTTCTATTTAAATTTGAACGGAGCGAACAAACGAAGATGGTATTTGATCCAATGTTTATGTTCGGCAGTCCTATAATTTCCAACCATTCGTTATTTTTTTTTTTCATTTGTAGGTAAACTTTAAAAATAATAATAATGAAATAATAATAACCTCGTAGTGAATTGTTTCAATAACAGATATCGATAATGTCTGCTTACAAGAACAACACTATCTCAAAATAGTCATTATCAACAAATTTCAAAATATACTAACAAACAGGCAATTTAAAGTAACCAAAGCAAAATTCGGCAAGACCTATGAAGAAACTACTTAAATGAGTCTAATTACATGAGATATTTCGGCTATTGTATGATTTATAGGCAGAAAAATAACACAAGTGTACACTGCCGTACCCCTTAATGCTGCAGCGAGGCATATTTATCAATACTTAATTGTTCTCACTGTCAATATTTCTGTCCATTTCATTACAATTCATGCGAATAATTCACTAAAACCTAAAACATTTGGTTTTGACATTTGATGTACTTCACTTTGACAACCGGATACGGATGTCAAAGGGTACTCCAAAAATGGTAAAATGAAGACAGTTGGCATTTAAGATGACGTTACGTATTTTCGATTTCCGTGTTTGACATAAATCAATGTAGTGCTATCTCTTTTGGCTCACGACGACACACAGTAGTTAAACAAAGACAATAAAATGTTTATGTTTCACCGTCTAAATGCATCATATAACGTCTGATTTACATATGTCAATATAACATGTCCTTTGGTTTCCATAGTCTAAGTTCAAACCAGGGTATGACGAGCCGACAGGTAAGTTTCATAAAAACATCACACAAGTGTTTTAATGCCTAATTATGTGCAGTTACATACACTACTTTATCTATACACATATTATAAGCTCTCTATGATGTATTCAGGAACGGCATGTTACGACTGGCGAAATGGCGGCAAATAAAAACTTTTCTCGCGTATCTCACGCAACCATGGTTTTTATTTAATTCATAGACTAGTGTCGGCCCCAACTATCATATCGTTCGATATCAAGTAACGTGTGAAATTTGTCAAAATTGTTTGTTTGACATTTTATTTCGAATAAAACTTAGTCTCGATTGATATAAGAATATAAGAATTGAGGTCGAATGAAATTGTTTTCTTTTTTCAGATGTTCGAAATTTGAATGTATTATTATAATTCGATGTTAATCGAATTCGATGATAATGAAGCAATAATAACATCTTCACAGATAAGAAATTTGTTCTAACGAAACAGTTTATGCTGGTTGTAATTTGCGGTCTTTGAACACGTCATAGAGTGTCTAAGATATGTGTGTAGTCCGAAGCTTTTTAATGATTTTGATTATTTCAATGATTTTGTGATAAATGTTTAAAAAAAATTACCAGCGTAAAATCTTAATCACACTGAAATTTTCTCTAAGGTAAGAACGATGGCTGAGCTGCTTTTTGGGCTTGCAGTTATTCCTAGTTGATTTGTAATCAATCCGGATGCTAATACGGATACGGATACGGATATTTTAATTCATGCGGATTATTATAGGGATGCTGATCTCGCAGCAACCCTGATTCAAATTATGCAAGACCTTCAGAGATCGACATCTCAAATTTACCTCAAGATACAACTTACACTGGCGCAGAGTCGAAGCTTCGCGACGCGTCAATATTTTTCGCCTGTAATGCTACATTCATCTCTATTTTCCCAATATTAAGGTACAAATTTGTGTTATGCAAATATGACGCTTGGTCGCAGTCGAACGGCTTCGCGCGTCTACGCGCGTTACTTAAGCGCAGTGAGGCGTCATACGCCGACCATACTGTGATCCAGGCCCACTAATGCGACAGGCGTCGCGCGTCGCCAGGCGTTGTAGTTGAAAAACAGGACGCGACGCGACGCTTCGAATCTGCGCCATTGTGAGTTGAGCTTTACGGTTACATTACTAAAAAGCGGAAAGGCTATGTTCCTCTTGCTCACATTTTAAATTATGATTGGTTTATTAATTTTAAATCAAACAATTATTGTCAATCTTAAGTATACGTTTTAGCTTAACAATTTCAAGCGCATTTCGCACTTGAGAACTAACATAGTATTATCTCAAAAATTGCATTATATTATATTTTATCTCAAAATTGCTTTATATTAATATTTTATCTCCAAAATTTCCCTATATTTGTGTACCATTCGTATACGATTTAATTTCAACAGTAAGTAAAAGTAAGTAACAGGACAACACTGTCGCTTTGAACTTAATTCGGTAACATTAATATAACTTAAAGCAATTTTGAGATAATACTATGTTAGTTGTTATGTGCGATATGTGTAGTTACCGGCAGTTGAAAAAGCACTTGTGAGTGTAAAGTTATTTCACTGTGTGGTAAAGCGACAAGTAACTACTCGTACCTAGTCCGCACAAGGGGCATATGTGAACAAGGAACAGTAAAATTATCAGTTGATTAGCACCCGCGCCGCTAACTGCTCGACCACACGGTTCTAGATGCACTCAATGGCATGACCTCTTTTCTTTATAGTACGATAACAGATCGGCAAAAACTATAAGTAATTATAGTAAAATAACACACTTTAACCTTAAAGCGTGAATCAGTTTAAATCTTATTTTAAACCGGCTTCAAAAAAGGAAGAGATTCTCAATTCGACTGTATGTTTTTTTATGTATGTTACGCGATTTGGCATGCGATGCGGTATTTATACACCGATTTTAATAATTCTTTTTTTTGTTGGAAAGAGGTACCTCAATAGCGGTCCCATTGAAATTTGAACAATATATTACACCTCTAAGGAGATTAATGACTTTCGAGGTCGGTTTTTTTAGTATTCTGTACTGAGATTATTAATTTACAATTACCAAACATTTTCTTCCAAAACAATAGACGAATTGTTAGCCTCGCAAACTTTAACATTTGAAACTTAAGTTGTTATAAGTACTGCAATGTAATAACTCAGACAATGTGTTTCTTTATTCAAGGTATTATTGAGGAATTCTTAGTCCTTTTGTTATCTGATTGACCTTCGAAACCATTAATAATAGATTAAAACCAGGCTTGTACCCTACCTAAAGTTGGATCGGGCTCCGTCTGCGGCGCGTGGTTGAATTTAGTTTACGTGCTTATGCTCTTCGGTGGCATAGCGTTTAGTACTATGGCTGCTTCACGGGTAGGTTCCGGGTTCGTATCCCAGTTAGGGCCAATTTAGGAAACGAACATTTCTAAGTTGGTTTTGGTCTGCGTATTATGGGTATTTCCCTCAAAGTTATCGTTATTATGGTATTCGTAGTACAGGAAATTCCCTAATTTGAGGCCAGAAACTTGAAGTGATTGTCTGGCATTCTTTTCTCCGAAAAAAAATTTTTTTTTTGTATAGCTTCCAAGAAAAAGAAATCTAACAGAGAGACGGTCGAGATACAACAACGCTATAGGTATCTAATTTCCAATACATCGGGAAGTATGCCTTACATTTTAAACAATTGTAAGATCTTGTGCTCGTAATAGAACGTCCGTATACTACCTACGTATGGTGGTGTGCGGACGCTTCGGGCTTGGCCATCCGCTGG